GCCCTGTCATCTCTCTGAGAAGTAAAGACAGGAGCTATTGAAGTGGACAGGCCACACGCTCAGTGGGAGCTTCCTGGCTCTTCTCAGCTCTATCTGAGGCACATGGTATATGTACATTATTGTCTTTAATCCTAACCAAACATAATTATCCCTATTTTTGGGGGGAGAGGTTTTTGCTATAGGGCACGTGCGCTCGCCAGACAGAGAGACAGAAAGCGAGAAAACACCCCCTAGGGGGGATGGTCACGCCACAATCCCTTCTCCTCCATTCTCCTCTCAGGATCTTGGGCACGCACGCACATGCACCCGGCGTGAGTTTTAAGCCACTGGGTTCGGGACGCGAACCGCGGTCGACTACATGGGAGTCCAGCGACATAGCTATTACGCTTACTGCTGGTCCCAATTATCCCTATTTTACAGATAAAGAGACAAAAGTTCAAAGAGGTGAGATAACTTTACTCAGGCTGCACAGAAGGAAAGTGACAGATCTGAGCCCATTTGATTTGATGCCCATGATCTGTCTAGTGAACCACAGAGCCTCCTATGTCAGTAGGTGGTGATTTGAGTAGGTGTGAATAGAAGAGTTCACAAACGTAAATGCCTAAATGATGTGGGAGGCATACAGATGCTGAGTGTCAGAAGAGGTGAAAGTGATTTGATAAATGGCAACTGAAAAATCAGAGTCAGTGGATGGCAATAGGGTGCAGTAGGGACTGTGGGAAAACAAAGTATGTGCCCTCTCTAAAGGAAACAGCTGACAGCAGTCACCTGTTGATTGTTGCTATGTAGGTGTACAGGCCCAATATTACCAGATCTATTAAGTTGTCAATAAAAACTAGAAATAGGGAACCAGCAGTTAGTGTAATAATGGCTATGTCGCTGGACTCCCACATAGTCGACCGTGTCTCCTCTCAAGATCTTGGGCATGCATGCACACGTGCCTGGCATGGGTTTAAGCCACCGGGTCTGAGATTTGAACCACAGTGGGCTACATGGGAGTTCAGAGACATAGCCATTATGCTAACTGCTGGTCTCAAGACATAGGACTCAATAGTGACCAGGGAATGGTCTGTACTCATGCTAAAACAGATGATGTGGAAAGATTGGACTAGATTTTGATTGAGCTTCTTTGGTGGAGAAGGTGTCCTACTCCAAAGGCAAGGGACACTTCCTCTAGGACCTAGAAGCACCTCAGAGAAGGGACTATGACTCAGCTTTTCCACAGTCATCTTAAAGAGCTCTGTCTAACCAATAATGAAAGCTACTTTATATATTAAGCCATCTGTCATTTTTTTCTTTTATCTTTGCTCATGTATTAAATACTTCGGGGCAATTCTCCATTGATAGATATGCTTGTCTGTTGTAAGTCAATATGCAATAATTAATAACTAGATTATATTTATTTTAATTAAAAAACTCAACATGAATCCAATTTTATGTATATGTAAAAATACATTGACATATATCTGTAGAGTAGAAAGAAATGGCATAAAATTTTAAAAATATTGGGCTAGCTCCATAGCCTACCTGGACTGAACTTGGATGGAAAGGTTCAAGAGTAGGACAATGGAGTAGAGGGAGAGAGCTCAGATGGGGCCTTGCCATTTACATCTACCAGGAAGCAGGAGGTGACAGGCAGAAAGGGAAGGACAAGGGCACAGAGGACCTGAACAAGTTATAGAATGAGGTTAACAGAAACCCATTACACACATCAACACTACCAATATTTTAAATTTTATTTATTTCAAACATTTAATTTAAAAAATTACCAGCAGATTTATGCGCATACCACAGAGAGAGAAAAATCATCTCCGAAATGGGGTATGGTCATGCCATAATCTTCTTTCTTCCACTTCCCCATCTCCTCAGAAGTTGGGGCAAACATGTAAATGTGGAGAGCATGTTTTTCAAGTCAGCGGGACTGAGATTCAAACTATGGTCAGCAAGATGGGATCTGGCTTCTTCCACACAGCACTTAACTTCTGCACCATGGGCTAGTCTCTGCATTTAAAGATTTTCAAAGCTTTTTTTTAAAAAAGAACGTAATTTTTAAAATGTTTTTTTCAGATAGGGTCTTGCTGTGTCAAAAATCCTCCTGCCTCAGCCTCCCAAGTCACTGGGATTACAGGTGCACATCACCATGCCCAGCATTTTGGTTGGAGAGAATTGAACCAGGCTTCCCATGTGGTCGTAGCCTGTGGAATCTAGTGTTAGCTGTGTACACCTGTGCGACTGGGCTTTGACTTTTTTTGAACAGTTTTAGGTTCACATTAAAATTGATTTCTCACATATTCTCTGAAGCCACATAGCCTTCCCCATTATCAACATTCACACCAGAGTATGAATTTATTATAACTAATGAACCTACATTGATATATCATTATCATCCAAAATCCATAGTTTACAGTAGAGTTCTCTTGGGAGGCTATACTTTTTTTTTCTTTTGAAAGATTTTTGCTATAGGGCACATGCACTTGCCAGAAAGACAGAGAGACAGAAAGTGAGAAATCACCCCCCAGGAGGGGATGGCCACACCGCAATCCCTTCTCCTCTCAGGATCTTGGGCACGCATGCACACGTGCCTGGTATGAGTTTAAGCCACCGGGTCCGGGCCTCAAACCATGGTCGACTACATGGGTGTTCAGCTACATAGCCATTACGCTAACTGCTGGTCCTGGATGCTATATTTTTTTTGAGTTTTGACAAATGTGTTGTCAGAAAAGTCATGATGCATATGACTTTTCTGATGACCCAATATAATGACATATATCCACCATCATATTACCATACAAAATGGTCTCATTGTCCTAAAAACTCTCTGTGCTCTGTCTACTCACCCCTTCCTCCTTTCAACCCATAATTTCTTGTTTATTTCCCTTATCAAAGGGAGTAAGACCCGGGAACCAGCAGTTGGCGTAATGGCTATGTCGCTGGACTCCCACATAGTCGACCGCGGTTCGCGTCTCGGACCCGGTGGCTTAAATCTCACGCCGGGCGTGTGTGCGTGCGTGCCCAAGATCCCGAGAGGAGAATGGAGAAGGGATTGCGGCGTGACCATCCCCCCTGGGGGGTGATTTCTCGCTTTCTGTTTCTATGTCTCTCTCTGTCTGGCGAGCGCACGCGCCCTATAGCGAAAACCTCTCCAAAAAAAAAAAAAAAAAAAAAGGAGTAAGACCCCTAAGAGGGTCTCACCATGTTGAGATCCACGCCCTCTCCAGCCTTGCAGTCAGCCAGAATCATGGACATGTCTGATGTGTCCAGGTGACTCAGGAAGGGCCTTCTCACATGGCTTCAGTATTGTGCCAGTGCACCCTACCAGCTATGTCACCATGGATGGGCCCAAACCATGATCTTTTTCCTGCCTTTATAGATTTGACTTTTCCTGAATGCCTTGTAGATGGAATCAGACAGTATGCAGCCTTTTCAGACTGATTTTTTAGCTTAGTTATATGCACTTAAGCTCCCACCTCTATCTTGTCAGGGCTTAATAGTTCATTGCATTTAAGTGTTGTAATATACTTCATTGTATGGATATACCAGTTTATTCATTCATTTACTGTAGGACATCCTGGTTGCTTCTAATTTTTCAATTATGAATAAAGTTTCTATAAACATTCATGTAGAGGGTTTTGTGTAGACAAAGCATTTTTATGTACAGTCTAACTATAGATATGAATTTTCTCAATCAAATTCCTAAAAAGTCAATATAGTACAACAAATCAAAGCATTTATTAATGTGACCAGGAGAGTTTATTCTTTGAAAACACAAATAACAACAACAAATAAAATATTATGATGTTAAGAATAAAAAATTGTCGGGACCAGCAGTTGGTGTAATGGCTATGTTGCTGAACTCCCATGTAGTCGACCATGGTTCGAGTCCCAGACATGGTGGCTTAAACTCATGCTGGGCATGTGTGTGTGTGTGAATGGGTGTCCAAAATCCCGAGAAGAGAATGGAGGAGAAGGGATTAGGGCATGGCCATCTCCCCTGGGGGGGGTGTTGATTTCTTGCTTTCTGTCTCTCTGTCTTGCTGGCAAGCACACATGCCCTATAGCTAAAACAAAACAAAACAAAACCTCACAAAAAAAAGAATAAAAAACAGGTGAAAACAAAGCTCTGTAAGAGATAATTAAAATGATTTATTCTCAGCATGAATAGGAGTGGGTATGGCCTGGAACATAATCCCTGGAAGCCCTGAGAAAGTGTTTTGGGGTACTCAGATACAGTGACTCTTATTTAGTAGCAAAATTATGAGACACAAGGAGAACTGTAAATCAGCATATAAGGTCTTGAGACCAGCTGGTAGCATAGTGGTTAAGTCAGGTGAGTCCCACATGGCTAACTGGACCCACCCTGGAAAAACATTCAGGGTACGTATCCATGCATGCCCAAAATCCCAAGAGGAGAACGGAGAAGGGATTACGGCATGGCCATTCCTTCTGGTAGTTGCTTTCTCACTTCTCTCTCTCTCCCTCTGTCTCTCTTTCTCTGGAAAGTGCACATATCCTATGGCAAACTAAGGGGCGGGGGGGTGCGGGAGGCATATGGGGTCTTCCCATTCACCTGGCCTATAAAGGTGAAAAATCCAGAAATGAGGGCTTACAGGTTATAGATGGGTTTAGAAATTCTTAGGTTAATAACTGGTTAAAACACAAATTTTTGTCTCCAAAAGACTCAGAGTCAGCAGAAAAGAATGCCCAAGTTTAATTTTAACAGAGATAAGAAGACTTTACTATATATCATGTGATTCTATGCCAAGGTCAGGATGTAGGGAGCATCTTGTAACTACTGGACCAAACTGGTCTGTTACAGCAAGACTAATTTTTGTACTTATGACTCCCCCAGGCCCCTTGGAAAGAATCTTAAATAGGAAGAGTAGTCATAAATCTGTCATCAAAGCTTTATATAAACAAATATTTTGAGTAATTAATTCTCTTTTCATCATCTCCCCCATCTACGTCCTACCCCACACCCTTCCAACCCTTAACACACTTACCATGATGTAGGTCAATGGACATTGTGGCCAAGTTGTTGGTATTAGTTTCTGTTTGAATAACAAGCCACTGATCCTTAAAAACTGCAGTACTCGGAGCAAGTTCCTTAACATCTTCGTGCCGCAGGACCAGCAGCTGGCGTAATGGCTATGTCACTGGACTTCCATGTAGTCGACTGTGGTTTGAGTCCTGAACCCAGTGGCTTAAACTCACACTGGGCACATGCACATGCGTGCCCAAGATCCTGAGAGGAGAATGGAGGAGAAGGGTTTGCAGTGTGGCCATCCCCCACGGGGGGTGATTTCTCACTTTCTGTCTCTCTGTCTTTCTGGCAAGTGCATGCATGTTATAGCAATAACCTATCAAAAAAAAAAAGCCCCAAAGAAACAAAAAACATCTTCGTGCCTCTTCTTCTCCATATGTAAAACAGGAATTTTTAAAAACCCAGTACCTACCACATGGATTAAATGAGTTCATAACCATAAAGTCTTGGAACAGTACTTGGCACATAAATTTTAAGTAAAATGAATGGTATGTATGTGTATATGTTGTGCAAATGCTGGTCTTGCAGGGCTGTACATGATTCTGATGTGGCTATCTTATGTCAGATGGTCAGGTTGGTGATTTGCCTCTATCCTACTTAAAAGCAACAAGTTAGCCAGTTACTGTTTCAAGGATGCTAGAAGAAGACATGAGACATCTGAGTCAGAGAAAAAGAACTTTATTATTCACAGCACAGAAAACACAAAAACAGAAATGGTTAGAAAGCATGACCAAGTTTGCATCAGTTCCTTTTGCTCCTAAGTTCCAAGGGGTGACACAGGGGCCCAGACAGTAGGTTTGTGTGGCAACTGGGCAATGATGCGCTTGGAGAACTCCCTGATTTTAAAGTAAGCACTTAGCTTACCCTGCTCTTTGTCTTAGGAGATGCCCTCATCCCTCAAAATTACTTGTTGCAAAGATAACCGTAATAAATGGCTTAGAGGACTTGGCTCTGTGGTACAACTGTAATACACTGCTCGAGAGAGGCTGAATCCCATGTGGCAACTGTGGTTTGAATCCTAAGCCTCATTAGCCTGAAAACACATTGCGTATTTGCATAAGTGCCAAGGATCCAATGAGCTTGGGGACTGAAGGAAGGGGAATGCAGAATGCCCAGACCACACAGAGGGTGTCTCTCTCTGTTTTTAGTGTGTGTGCATGCACACACACACTATCAGGAATAAAGAAGAAAGCAAAGCAAAGCAAAGGCTCAGATAGAGTGGTGTGGCAGAAAGCCTCCAAGATGGACTTTATGGTTCTTGCCTCCAGATATTCTCTTTTGTGTAATCCCTCCAGGTGATGGTGGCTAAACTTAGTCACTGACTTCTAATGCAGTCAGTACAACACAAGTGAAGGAAGGCTGCTTCAGAGATGAAATGATAAAAGACTGCAGTGCCCCAGCCATTGGCTAAGGTTACAAAGAAGACTGGGTTCTACATCTGGCCCACCCTAAAAACTGGGATCAGAGGCACTGATAGTCCTAGCAGTCTAGAGGCTGAGATAGAATGGTTGCAAGAGTAAAACCTTATCTTTTAAAAAAAAGGAAAAAGAAGAAGAGAAGACTAGCTTCTGTGCTAGGCACCTTCAATTGCTCACTCTGGAGGAAGAAAGAAGAGACCCACATGGCAAAGAACAGATGTCTCTAGCCTACATCAGTCAGAACCTGCGCCCAACCATGGCCACATGCATAGGCTTGGGAGCACATAATCTCAAGGCTTGGAAGCACATAATCTAGAGCCTTGAGCAACCCAGTCCACACCTGGACTTTGCCTGAGAGACAGAGGCTTCCAGCCAAACTGCATCCAAATTCCTGACAAACAGAAACTATCTGAAAGATTTGTTGATTCAAACCTCTATGTTTTGGGGTAATTTGGTATGTACTAGTAGATATGTAATATGAACAGTCGGGGCTTTGTGTTATCAACATACTGAGTGAAACATTCAGAGACATAAGATACTCACTGATAGCCATCCCCTAACAACAGGGTAAAAGTTAAAACTCTCAATGCGCGCAATGCTACTTCCCAGAAAAGGCCTGACATGCACATGCTTAGCATCCATCATCCAAGGAAGAGAGAGATCCTAGGACTGGAAACTAGAATCTAGAAGGAAACCCTTAGTGGGACCTTGTCTTACCAATATTGGGGCTAATTTTGATGAATTTAGCTTACTTGAAGACATTATGTAGGGTAGAAAAAGTGACTTCTTCATTGTATATGTGAAGCTAAGCAGGGAGGAATAATTTAAAGTGTCAAGTGTTAAATTACCTACAGTGCATTCATTGAACCAAATTATCCACTCGTATTATTTCCTGTACTCATTTGATTTCTATTTGTCTGGAGTCCTTTGTAAAGTTTGAGAGTGTTTTCCCTGGTCTCATCTGTATTCCAGGGAATTACGAGAGTTAAATGCTTGAGCCAAAATATTAAAGGGGAAACAGTGCCCCCTGGAGGCCAGAGTGGTAATGCCAATGAGCTCCAAGAAGCAGGAGAATCCTACTGCAGGTAGACTAGGGAGATGCTACAAAAACAGATGCTAAACAATTCTGATAAAACGTAAGATGTCCTTTTTATTTAAAGTCCTTAATAAATTGACATGGACGTTTTATTAACATGGTAAAAAGCTTTTTTCCCACCAAAGAAAGAGTTGACTTTATACTTAACGGATGGCTCAACAGTACAGTTATTAAGAACATGGCCTTTGGAATATGACAGACCTGCCTTCTGTGTATCCTTGGGTGAAGTGATAAATCTGCCACAGCCTATTTCTTTATCCATAAAAGTGGGGATAGCTAATTAGATTATAGTGATGATGAAATGAGATTGATGATTAAATGAGATAGATTATGTATATAATGTCCTTAGCTTTTGGTAAGTATTCAGTATTTAAAAACTGCTATTTTGGGGGCTAACGGATGGTGTGGTGCTTAAGGTGCTGGACTCCCACAAGGTCAACCATGGTTCAAGTCCTTGACCTGGTGACTTGCTTTCTCACCCCCCCCCCAAGCCCTCCATCTCTCTCTGCTGTGCACATGTGCTCTGTAGCAAATTTTTAAAAAATAATAAATAAAATTAAATACTTCTTAAAAATAAAAACTATATTGTTAATACTACTACTGATACATTAATAAGATCCATGTAACCAGATACTTACTATACTATTATACACAATGGCAATAAAATTTTTATTTAAGAAATTACAAGTTCAGCCACAGTGGGGCTTGCTGCTATCATGTTGTGCTCTGTAGGTGACATGAGAAGCCCAGGTTTGATTTCCGGTCTAACTACATGCATGGTTGCATGTTCTGTATGTAATCTCAATGACTTGGAGAGGCTGAGGCAAGGGCTTGAGGCTAGCCAGGACAACATAGTAAGACCCTGGCTCAAAAAGAGCTAGAAATGGTGACATGTGCCTTTAGTCCAAGCTGGGAGGCTGAGCAGGAGGATTTGGCATGATGAAGATATAAATTAGAATAAATAAGGGAAAGAAAGAATTAGTGAGCAGAAAAACCTTAAAATAGCTATAATAAAGGTATGGGAAAAATAGAATCCTTAAAAAATCTTTCTATTCAACGTATTAAGAGTTCTTACAGACACATAATTAATATTGCTAGTGTACTGGATAAGCAAAGAAGATGAAAAACAATTTAGCAAGTATTTTATTAAGTGTATCACTTATTGTTAAGAAATTCAAAATAAAATTACTTTCAGGTCTCATATACCTTTTAAAGTCTCAAAATGTAATGAAAATAGGGATTAGCAGATGGCATAATCTGGACTCTCATGTGGTTGATTGAGTTTCGAGTACCAGAATCGGTGGCTTAAAACTTACTCAAGGGAACCAGCAGTTAGTGTAATGGCTATGTCGCTGGACTCCCACGTAGTCGACCGCAGTTCGTGTCCCGGACCCGGTGGCTTAAAACTCACGCCGGGCGCGTGTGCGTGCGTGCCCAAGATCCCAAGAGGAGAATGGAGGAGAAGGGATTGTGGTGTGACCATCCCCCCTGGGGGGTGATTTCTCGCTTTCTGTCTCTATGTCTCTCTCTGTCTGTCTGGTGAGCGCACGCGCCCTACAGTGAAAAATCTCTCAAAAAAAAAAAAAAAAAACTTACTCAAGGCATGTATGCATGCGTGTCCAAAATCCCGAGAGGAGAATGGAGAAGGAATTGCAACGTGGCCATCGCCCCCTGGGGGACTGGTTTCTCATTTTCTATCTATCCAGAGAGTGTACGCACCCTATAGCAAAAATCTAAAAAAAGAAAAAGAAAAGAAAGTAATGATAATTAAAAGAATATGTATTGGGGAAGACATAGGGAAGAATGCATGACCCTGGAACATGGCATACCTGACTCTATCTCTCATCAGCTATGAGGGTAAGGGCAAGTCACATCACTTTCTATGCCTCAGTTTCCTTATCATGTACACATGAGACAGAAACTATAATAGACAAACATCCCATTCATAATTATCACAACTATAAAATATCTAGATATAAAATCAACAGGAAATGTGCAAAACCCAATTAAAAAGCCAATTATCTCTATATTGAACTGTAAATGAAATGCAGTTTTTACCAAAATCCTGACAGAATTTATTTTTTACTTAAAAATTGATTCGTGGGCTGCTCTCATTGCCTAGTGGTTAAGGGAGCCAGATCCCACATGGCCAACTGTGTGGTTTGAGTCCTGGGCCTGGCAACTTAAGAAATAAATGCACTAGGCATACATGAAGAAGGGGTTACAGCATGACTGTGCCCCATTTGGGGGGGGTGCTTTCTCCTACTCTCACTCTCTCTCTATTTTACCTGGAAAATAAATGTTTTAAAATGCCCAGGAAGGTCCTGAAAAACAACTGTAACAAAATAAGACTTGGCCTGTGAGATACTAAAAAGGACTATAAAATTATAGAGTAAATAAGTAGAGTTGTACTAATCAAAAATAGACAAGTCCAGGAATTGGAACAGAAAATAACCCGTTTGTACATATACAATTTCTCTCATGCCCAAGGTGGTATTTTAAATCAGTGGAGGAAGACTACATTATTCAATAAATAGCATAAGGATAACTATCCACAAATTACCAGGGATTTAAAGATCTAAGTGTAGGTCTGACCCTGTGGTGTAGCAGTTAAGAGCTAAGCAGAGGGATCCAAGTCCAGCAGGGCGAACTGTGGTCTGAATCCCAACCTGGTAGCTTGAAAAACACACAACCAGGCCCTGTTTGAGGGTGCTTTCTTTTTCTCTTTCTCTTTCTCTCAATCTCTCTCTCACGTATGCACACATTCTCTATGACATATAAATAAAATTTAAAAGCTTTAAGTGTACAAAAGACAAAACACATGAACAAAATGAAAACCAGAAGCCATTTGTTAGAAATACAGAAAAATCTGGGCCGGCAGATGGCATAGTGGTTACATAGCTGGACTCCCACATGGCCAACTATGGTTCGAGTCCCAGATCTGGTGGCTTGAAACTCACACTGGCCCTGTGTGCATGTGTGCCCAAGATCCTGGAGGAAAAAAGGAGAAGGGATTGTGGTGCGGTCATCCCCCCTGGAGGGGGGAGTGGGATGATTTTTCACTTTCCTTCACTGTCTCCATTTGTCTCTCTCTCCAGGGAGTGCATGCACCCGAAGGCAAAGGCTTCTTAAAAAAAGAAAGAAGGAAAGAAGGAAGGAAGGAAGGAAGGAAGGAAGGAAGGAAGGAAGGAAGGAAGACAGACAGTCTTAAACTTTGAGCATGAAAGAATTTTCATAGTCTAACACAAAACCCCTAAGCCAGGAAGGAAATGACAGTTTGGTTAGCCTGCATACAGATGATACTTTTTCTGCAGAGCCCTGCCTTCCCTGTCTTTACCCTTTTCCTCTAGGAATCCCCGAGGTGAACAGTGTGCTGCAATGGTAGGCAGTCGGTGCTGGGCACTGGGAGACAAGGAGAAAGAGTCCTGCAGGGACACCATGCAACTTTTTACTAAGCTTACTGGGCATCACTTTGTACTCAGATAAGCAAAATGGACTTACCAATTGGAATTCTGATAGATGGGTGCATTTTTTTTTGCCTTAAGTTTCTTTTTCTGTCTTCCATGAGTAAGATAGACAGAGAGGGCAAGATAGGCTGCACCCCAAAAAGGGTCTTGATGTGGCCATCTCCCCCACTTCCCCAGTCATCTAAGGATCATAGGCACAAGCATGCCTAATGCACTCAAGGAGGTCTTCAGATATAAACCCAGACTTATCCATGTAGGTCAACTGTGAAAAACCTCACATTTTACCACTGTGAAATGCACTGGTCTCCTCTGATAGATTTTTGAAATGTGGTCTAGTTACCAGTATTTTTAATTTTAAAATTAATGTAAATTAATTTGTACTCTTCCTCAAACACCAATGTAATTTCCATATAGCAAAAGAGACTATACAGTTACAAGTGGCACAAAAAGAAAATATTTGTAACACATGTAACAGAGTTATTCAAAATATTGATATATAGAGTTCCTTGAAAACAAGAAAAAGACCAGGAACCAGCAGATGGTATGGTGGATGAGGCACTGGACTTGCACGTGGTTGACCATGGTTGTTGACCATGGTTCAAGTCCCGGACCTGGACACTTGCTTTCTCTGGGATCAGCAGATGGCATAATAGTTACATCACTGGACTCCCACATGGCCAATTTGGTTCAAGTCCTGGATCTGGTGGCTTCATCTTCACACCGGGTACGTGTGCATCCATGCCCCAAATCCAGAAAGAATGGAGAAGGGATTATGGCATGGCTATTCCCCCTAGGGGGTGATTTCCCGCTTTCTGTCTCTATCTCTCTGGCGAGCACCCTATGGTAAAAAGCTCTCTAAAAAAGAAAAAAAAGACCAAGAAAATTACTAAATAAAAAAAAAGAAAAAATAAGTCAAGGGTATGAATGGGTAGTTCACTTAGAAAGAAATACAAACTTCCAGTATACAGATAAGCACATGTTCAAGCTCACTATGAGTCAGAGAGCTGCAAAGTAAAACAAGATAGCATATCAGGATACCAAAGGTAGATGGGCGGAGTGAAGTGTCAGCAGAAAATAGAGCAAGCAATAAGGGGATGTACTGTCTGCAGAGAATTTAAAAATAATAGGCCCAGTTGCAGTGGTTAACTAAGACGCTGTGCTCCACAGGCTGGGACAACATGGGAGGCCCAAGTTTGCTTCCTGGTCCAACCTGAAGGCAGGTATGGTGGCATGGATCTGTAATTCCAGCAATTTGGGGATGCTAAAGTAGGATGATATTGAGGTTGAGGGTGGCAAGAGCCAGTCTGAAAAAGAGCCAGAGACTGCTTCCATGCTACAGTAATAATGTCCTGCTCAAGCATAGCTGGATCCACATGTGACCATGTTTCAGATCCCTTACCTGGTCAGCCTGAGACATACCAGGCATATCCACAAGTGCCCAACATTTAATGGGCTAGTGGACTGGAGGAAGGGGATCATAGCATATATATATAATTTAAAAAGGCCAGCCGTGGTGGCACGTATTTCTAATCCCAGCTGTGGATGACGGCAGGAATGCAACATGGCAAGATCTTGTGTTAAGAGTTTAAAGGAGAAGACAGGTACCATGGTGGTTAAGGCCCTGGACTCCCACATGGTTGACTGTGGTTAGTCCCAGACCTGGAAGCTTGCTTTCTCACTTTCTCTCTCCCTCTCTCTCTGGTGAGCACATGTGCCCTATAGAAAATTTAAAAAATAAGTAAAAATTAAGTAATTCTTTAATAATTTGTTTTTAATTTGCTCATCAGAGAAGCAGAGACTGAGATATCTCTCTGACAGAGAGAGAAAAAGCACTCACAGTGGGGGGCGCCTGCAACTCCTTCTCCATTTCTCTATCCTGTCAGGATTTGGGGCACACATACGGATACACACCACCAGAGTGTTACTCAAGCCCCCGAGGCTGTGATTTGCTCTGTGGTTGGTCCTGTAAGTACTGTGGTTAATCCCATCAAGTATTTTGTGAAATGTCCTTCTATTAATTTTTGGGTTGATCTGATGTGTTCTCCTAATTAGACTATAAGAAAGATTTGTTCCTACTGACATATATTATGAAATGAATGAACACTGAGGACCCTGGTTAGTGAAATAAGTTAGTCATGAAAGGACAAATACCGCATGTATGATTCCTTTTGTAAGAGGTCCTAGAATAGTCTAATTTATAGAGACAGAAAGTGGAACAGTAGTTGTCAGGAACTGGGAGAAAGAGGAGTTGTTATTCAATGAGCAGAGTATTGGCTTTGCAAGATGGAGTTCTGGAGATTGCACAATAATGTGAATGTATTTAACACTACTAAAATGTACACTTAAAAATGGGTGAGATGGTGGGAACCAGCAGTTAGTGTAATGGCTATGTCGCTGGACTCCCACGTAGTCAACCGCGGTTCGTGTCCCGGACCCGGTGGCTTAAAACTCACGCCGGGCACGTGTGCGTGCGTGCCCAAGATCCCGAGAGGAGAATGGAGGAGAAGAGATTGCGGCGTGACCATCCCCCCTGGGGGGTGATTTCTCGCTTTCTGTCTCTATGTCTCTCTCTGTCTGTCTGGCGAGCGCATGCGCCCTACAGTGAAAATCTCTCCAAAAAAAAAAAAAAAATGGGTAAGATGGTAAATTTTGTGTTATGTGCATTTTGCCACAATTAGAAGAATGGCAATGAATTAAAACACTTAAAATTTTTTTTAAAAAAATTAAAAGCTGGGCCAGCCCGTGGTGTGGTGATTGAGGAAGCTGCATCCCAAGTGGCTAGAGATGTGGTTTTGAGTCCTGGAACTGGCAGCTTGAGAAACACCCCAAATATGTGTGTATGTGTCCCAGAGGAGGAAGAAATGGAGAAGAGACTATGACACAACTATCTCCGATGGGGCGCTGCTTTCTCAATTGCCCTCTCGTCGTCTCTCTCTGTTGCAAGTGCATGCATCCTGTGAGAAATTTTCAAAGAAAAGTTTTGCCTCTGCCCTAATTCATTTGGATGTTAATAAACAAAATGGTAATAAAGAAAATGACTGGTACTGGATGAAATGATTTGAGAATTTATATTCTTGGACAGGTCAACTTAGGTTGTTCTGGAATGAATGAAGGTTTTCACTTACTAGAATAGGGAAATCTGCTACTCCTCATCAGAAAGACTTTAAACATCTATGTATATTGTAATTTATGTATTTATAAGCCATTGCGACTCTTAGAATTTGCCAGACAGGCTTTCTAACTAACCTGTGTTGGGAAGTTTCAATGGTGATTCACTATTGAGTAACGGTTAATAAAGATATGAATTTAATTCTTTTTAGTAGCTTTTCTGAATTTAGGCAAATTGCATAACTTCTTCAAGTTTCTGTTTCCTCACTATAAAGTAGAGTATTGGAAGGATTCAATTAAATGCAGTAACAAAGCAACTATACAACTCATGGATAACAACTATCCAATAAACTGTGGTAATTACATTTAACATAGTGAATTACTTTCTTTCTAGACTCCGTCATCTAAAAATCCTCACATTTATTTGTTCATTATTAAAAATTATTCCTGGGTCAAAAGTAACTAAAACTGTGAATTCCATAAGAGTAAGAGCAATGCCTTTTCATCTTTGTTTTTTATTTTTGGAGAGTTTTTTTGCTATAGGGCGCATGCGCTCACCAGAAAGGCAGAGAGAGACAAAGAGACAGAAAGCGGAAATCACTCCCCAGGGGGGGATGGCCACGCTGCAATCCCTTCTCCTCTGTTCTCTCGGGATCATGGGCACAGACGCACACGTGCCCAGCATGAGTTTAAGCCTCTGAATTCGGGACTCAAACCACGGTCCACTACATGGCAATCCAGCGACATAGCTATTATGCCAACTGCTGGTACCTCTCATCTTTGCATTCTGGGTATAAAGCATAGTGCCTGACACAGAGGAAGTTCTCAGTAAATGTTTGATAATGAATGAATAAACCAACACTTGAGTCAGGTCTGTATTATGACTCCCAGATTATTACCTGCCAATGTTAACCTTATTCTTAATACTGGTGGTGACAAAACAGTAAAGCATGATGCTTTGTGAGGCAATTCCACAATGGGAAAGTTCTTGGTTCGAATATGAAGATTTCCCTTAGTGGGACCAGCAGTTAGCGTAATGGCTATGTCGCTGAACTCCCATGTAGTTTACCGCGGTTCGAGTCCCGGACTCTAACTTAAATTCACACCAGTGAGTGTGCGTGCGTGCTCATTATCCTGAGAGGAGAATAGAGGAGAAGGGATTGTGGTGTGGCCATTTTCCCCTGGGGGGGAGTGATTTCTCGCTTTCTGTCTCTCTGTCTCTGTCTTTCTGGCGAGCGCGCATGCCCTATAGCAAAAACCTCTCCAAAAAAAAAAATTTTTTTTCCCTTAATATGAGAATGCACTTGACCCCGAATCTGAGACTGGCAGAAGGGGTTGGATTATCACTCTGTAACTTTCTGGGGTGCTGTCTCTTTCATGGAAGAAATGAACTTTAAAAATGCCCAAGAAAATATAGGGGTGGCCCCATAGCTTAATGGTTAAGGAAAGCTGGATTCCTTATGGTCCACCACCACAGTTTGAGCCTTGGTCTAGTGGCTTGAACATGTTGGGTGTGGTATGTGCCGAAATTTTTACAGGGTGAAGAAATGAAAGAGAAGGGATTGCAGAGTGATCACACCCCACTGGGGGGTGCCTTCTCCCTCTTCCTGTCTTTCTGATTTTCTTGGTAAGCACATACATCCTCTGCCAATTAAAAAAAACTATAAATCTTTTCTAATTAAAGACCATATAATGAAGAGACATCAACATTTTCTAATTATTTAGGTGCCAATTCAACTAAATAAACATTTATCAAATTTTCCCTATATTAAAATGGTCTTTGCTAAGCCCTAGAAAATAAATATATGCTCCCTCCACAAAAGATACTTGTATTTTAGTGGGAGGTATGTATTTGTATACAAATATATATGGCAGGATATTATAAACCCAAAAATCACGGAAGCACTAATGATGAGTGACTAATTACCAGAGAGAATAAGGCAAGTTCATCCGCTGACTACTCAATTCATCCCAGATGCATCTTTGGCTAGTGTCTGTCCAGTCTGGTTCTCTACAACTTACCTGTCACAGGGATCAGGAGGAACTGACAGAAGCCACAGTAGCTGGCTGGTTCAGGATTTGAGGATCCTAACTTCCAAACCTCTGTCTCTTTCAGCTCAAAATAACTAACACAGCCAATCCTTACCTAACAACCTGTTTGCCAAGCACTTGGAGCAGTTCTCCACCACAAGGAATCCCCTTTCTCAATTTGTGTGAGTCTGGGTTATGTCCTTCCTCAGTCTCATTCCCGCAGTTGGTTAGAATGCAAAGTGTTCAATCATGTAAGACTACATATCTTCTTTGTAAATTTGTCCTTTACTCATATAAATACTACCCATAATAATATACAGAGTAAATAAAAATTATTTGAGATTTACATTATATTGTGTTGCAGTGGTTCTTGTTAACTTTCTGGTGTTTATCTTTTTTTCTTTTTAAAAATTTTTTGAAGAGGTTTTTGCTATAGGGCATGTGCGTTTGCCGGATAGATAGAGAGAGACAGAGAGACAAAAAGCGAGAAATCACCCCACAGTGGGGATGGCCACGCCACAATCCCTTCTCCTCCGTTCTCTCGGGATCTGGGGCATGCATGCACACACGCCCGGCGTTGAGTTTTAAGCCACCAGGTCCGGGACACGAACCGCGGTCGACTATGTGGGAGTCCAGCGACATAGCCATTACACTAACTGCTGGTCCCCTGGTGTTTATCTAATGCATACTTTTTATATTGCTATAGAATTACATTATTCTAGTGTGGTGTCGCATGATACCTATTGAAAGATACATACCCTACAGTGCCATGAAAGACCACAAGACATCCCCCTTTAAGTTCTTTGCTTATCAATCAGTGAGCTTAATGACCAAGTCACAGGAACGAAGCTCAGCCATTAAGTGAGGAGTGCCTGTACATGTCTCTGTAAAATGCTTTTTAGTTTAAGGTTTGATCCAAAAGATACACCCAGAATTACTCAAGCTACACTTAAGATTCACTGTCTCGTTTACTGTCCTTAGCTCCCTATAAATATGTAGGATATATCCATGTTATATGAGAAAACTATGGCTCAAAAAAGTTAAATGATTTCTCTAATGTCATACAGCTGATAAGTGGGAGAGCCAGGATGAAGTATAGAATGCATGAGCACAAATTTAATGGAAGGCAGCCAGTTTTCTGTAATTATGGTTTTTGCTTGATTTGGAATTACACTCTTGATTTGAATGATCAAATAAGTAAATAATTCAAAATCATAACATTAGATAGATTTTTTTTTTTAGTTTATTTCTTCCATAAATGAGAGGCGTGTGTGCAAGTGTGTGGACACACGGTATCTCGAGCGAGAGCGTGATGCCGCGGTCTATCCCTGCCAGTTGCAGACTATGAGCATGCAAGCGTGCCTGGTGTACTCAGGAAGGTCTCTGGACTCAAACCCAGAACCTTCCTGTGGGTCAACCTTACAGTCGTGTTTTATTGCTGCACCACTGTCTGGCCCCTAGATGGATATTTTAAAATTATTTTTTTGATTTTGCAATTATATTCATGCATTTCAACCTTTTGAAGCAACAAAGCCAAAGGAACCAGATCTAATTCTAGTTACTGCAGGTAATAACATTCTCTCTCCTCCATTAGCAACAGAGGCTAATTATAGCAAAGCAATCACAGTCATCCTTTTGGTGAAGACAGACACAGAGGTGTAGCACACACCCATTGTTTGGTCACTATGCTTCTGTACATCTTTAAAGTGGAAACAAACTTGGTTTTTACCGATGCTACCTCTAGTTCAACTATTTTTAATTTTCTCATTTCTAAAGAAGGTGAGGTTATAAAAACAAATCATCTCAAATGTTTTTAAAAATGTTTGAGAAACTGTGTGCTATTTTCAGATTCTGTTTATTTATAACAGCTGACAAATCAGTGAGTAAGAAGGTCAAGAACCTGAGAAGACAGAATGATAAAATTAAAACATTAAGCACAAGCTTTCTTATTAAATGGCATGTTATCTGTGTGCCAAGTGTGGTGAGTTTTTATGGTTCACTGGGCAATACTGTGTGCCAGGCACTTCAAAGAACATTCCAAAGAGATGGTCTGACTTACTGGAAGTTTAAAGTTAAACCTCAAATCCCATGTTTTTTCTTTTTCATTTTTTTTTAAATTTATGAGTTTTTACTATGAAGTACTGAGACTTTTTACAGGACAACAAATTCAGTTTCTATGAGTCAATAACATAAACTTTAAAAAGAAAGAGAGATAAGCAGTGCCCTAGAATAAAAGAAAATTAAGAAAGTTAAGAGCCAAATGCATTATTTTATCTAGATCGTAAGTCAAACAAAACAACTGTAAAAAGATTTTTTTATATGAACTTGTACTTTTAAAAAAATTTAACTTTATTTATTTATTTTAATTTGACCAGAGAGGGACAGAATGAGAAAGAGAAGAAAAAGTGCCAAGCTGCCAGGCCCAGGACTCGAACCATGGTCAGCCATGTGGGAGTCCAGTGTCCTTAACAACCACGCCACCTGCCGGCCCCTAAAAGATATGCTTGAGGCAGAGATATTTGGTTATGGAACTAGTATTAGACATTACCAATAAATTGTTAGTTTTGTGAACATGACTTTGTGGCATGTAAGAAAAGGCTCATACGTTAAAGATGGATCCTTGATACATTAAGGGACAAAATTACACAATATTTGGGATTTGCTTTTAAATATTTCAGCAAAGTTTTTAAAAGATAAAATATTAGTAAAACTAATTATTCAGTTAAAGTAATAGGAGTTTACTGTACTATTAGGTAATTCAAATTTTTCAAAATAAAAAGTTTTAAGCAAATATCCACCTAATAGAGGCTAATTATAGCAAAGCAATCACAGTCATCCTTTTGGTGAAGACAGACACAGAGGTGTAGCACACACCCATTGTTTGGTCACTATGCTTCTGTACATCTTTAAAGTGGAAACAAACTTGGTTTTTACCGATGCTACCTCTAGTTCAACTATTTTTAATTTTCTCATTTCTAAAGAAGGTGAGGTTATAAAAACAAATCATCTCAAATGTTTTTAAAAATGTTTGAGAAACTGTGTGCTATTTTCAGATTCTGTTTATTTATAACAGCTGACAAATCAGTGAGTAAGAAGGTCAAGAACCTGAGAAGACAGAATGATAAAATTAAAACATTAAGCACAAGCTTTCTTATTAAATGGCATGTTATCTGTGTGCCAAGTGTGGTGAGTTTTTATGGTTCACTGGGCAATACTGTGTGCCAGGCACTTCAAAGAACATTCCAAAGAGATGGTCTGACTTACTGGAAGTTTAAAGTTAAACCTCAAATCCCATGTTTTTTCTTTTTCATTTTTTTTTAAATTTATGAGTTTTTACTATGAAGTACTGAGACTTTTTACAGGACAACAAATTCAGTTTCTATGAGTCAATAACATAAACTTTAAAAAGAAAGAGAGATAAGCAGTGCCCTAGAATAAAAGAAAATTAAGAAAGTTAAGAGCCAAATGCATTATTTTATCTAGATCGTAAGTCAAACAAAACAACTGTAAAAAGATTTTTTTATATGAACTTGTACTTTTAAAAAAATTTAACTTTATTTATTTATTTTAATTTGACCAGAGAGGGACAGAATGAGAAAGAGAAGAAAAAGTGCCAAGCTGCCAGGCCCAGGACTCGAACCATGGTCAGCCATGTGGGAGTCCAGTGTCCTTAACAACCACGCCACCTGCCGGCCCCTAAAAGATATGCTTGAGGCAGAGATATTTGGTTATGGAACTAGTATTAGACATTACCAATAAATTGTTAGTTTTGTGAACATGACTTTGTGGCATGTAAGAAAAGGCTCATACGTTAAAGATGGATCCTTGATACATTAAGGGACAAAATTACACAATATTTGGGATTTGCTTTTAAATATTTCAGCAAAGTTTTTAAAAGATAAAATATTAGTAAAACTAATTATTCAGTTAAAGTAATAGGAGTTTACTGTACTATTAGGTAATTCAAATTTTTCAAAATAAAAAGTTTTAAGCAAATATCCACCTAATTTTTTAAAAAGAATTATTTTATTTAACTTTATTTATTTATTTTAAATTTGACCAGAGAGAGACAGAATGAGTGAGAGAGAGAGAAAGTGAGAAAGTAAGCCACCAGGTCTGGGACTCAAACAGCAGTCAGCCATGTGGGAGTCCACTGCCCTTAACCACCATGGCACCTGCCAGTCCCACCCATAAAACTTTAATAAGAGGAAGGAGTTATGATTATAACTCTAAACCTGCCAGACCTCTGAGAAATTCATGATGATCATTATGAACCGTGTAAATGATTTCTCACAGATGAAGTTGGTTTAACTCTATTTGCTGGAGTATTTTTATTTACGTCCTTTTCAAGCCAGAAACATGCTCTGAGATCACACAAATCTTCAGATTCCTAAGTCTACCCTAAATTGTATCCCACTCATATTCATGCTTTCATTTCTTAAAGTTAGCATCTCTCTGTGTTGCAATTCTCTTGCTTCAGCCTCCAGAGTAACTGGGCTACAGGTTCATGGCCTGGCTTTTAAGGTGGGCAGGGAACTGAACTGTCCTCCCATATGTCCCATATGATCTCATCCTGCCAAGCAGCAAGCATCAGCCAACCCGTGCTACCCCAGCTGAGACCCTGCTTCTACTCTTGACCTTTTCTTGACCTACTTACTTGAATTATATTTGAAAATGTAGTGGTCTGGACAATGGTATAACAATAAAACAGTGCAGTGAGGCAGTCCCACATGAGAAGCTTCCCAGTTCAAATCCAGGGACCTTCCGGTGTGTGCTTGGCATGTGCTTGCTCAGGATCCAGGACTGGCTGAAGGCAGAGAGTGATCACAGCATCAACATCCTTTGGGGAATGCCTGCCTCTTTCTCTTAGTCATGGTTTATTTTATCATAAAATAAACTTAAAACAAACACACACAGACATATTGCTCTCTGCTTGAAACTCCTCAGTGGACTCCAGTTCCTGGTAAATAATTAAAATTTCTTACTTGGTTTATACAGCCCTACGCGTTAGCCCAATTCTCTGCACCATCTGTACTTGCCTGCTCCAGCCTTGTTGGCTTCTTTTAGATCTTTATTGGCCAATCAGTCCTGGCCAACAACTTTCCCAGTCTGATCAGGATATTCCTCTTAGAATACCCTCCTCAACTCATTGTTTTCTCCTTTATAGAATCCAGCTCTTCTCCCTCTTAGCAATTTTCAGAACTTATTTGGGTTCAGTGATTTCCTGTCTGTTTTCCCACTTCTCTGAAATCTCCATGAATAGTTTGTTTACCACTGTGTATCACCAATACGCAAATGTTTATCAAATCAATTAAGAAACATTTCTCTCCAAGCTTCTAATTCTGTAAGTATCATGTGGAAATTAAAATCTAATATGAAGTATTAGAAAGAGGGAATTTGGTGAATATCAGCCAAAGTGTTGACTTAAACTTCAAAGGTATCAGGGCTGAGGGAACAGAAGAGGCATTTAAGACAAGTATCAGAGGGCAGCACAAGCGATAATTAGGCTACAGAACAAAATCTTCCAAAAGGGAAGATGCTGACACCGCTGTGAATGGTGCAGTATTTGAATTCATTAACTTCCATGGCTTTTTCTGCTCAGTCAGCACCTGTGTCCACCTTAGCCCTCTGGGCTGCAGTGAACACAGCCCTTACTACTGGAAAGGATCAGGGAACAAGATCAAGACACTTGACCAGGATCTCTTGATTCCCACACAAAGAAGCCAAAGCCGGCAGGAGACGTAAGAAAATGTACAAATCTACAATCACGTGGAGGTCAAACATACTTCCCTAAAAATGGAGACAGTGAACATAAAATTTGAACAAGACAGTTAACAAATTTGAGCTACTATATATTTGGTTGTGCAAATACGTGTGTGTGTGTGTGTGTGTATATATATATATATATATACACACACACATACATGTATATTATTTTTTTAATTTAACACTACCTGGTGCTTAAGTGTTTTACAGCTAGTGACTCACTTCAAGAATTAGAGGACACATTCTCTCTCATGTGGCACATTTATTAAAGTGACCATGTATTGGGTCACAAAATCCCAACAGATACCAAATATTCAATCTCTATAGATTGAATCACATGTAGTAAAAGGTCAAAATGATGTAAGTCAGCAGGTTCCTTGACAAAGGAAGGGAGAGGCAGGAAGGGAAGGAAAAGGATGGGTGAAGAGGTGAAGTTTTAGTTCTGCCTAAAATGCTATATTTGAAAGAAAGAACAAAGAGGGAGGGAGCAAAAGAGGAAGAAAGGGAAAGGTGGAGGGAAGAAAAGCCTAAATCAAGGTTTATTCTACAAAAATAAAACTGGCCTTGTATCGTGAAAGACAAAACCAGACTGAGAAACTATTCAGGGTAAAGGAGACTAAAGGCATACAATCAGAATGAGAGAGAGGCAGGATCAGGGATGTTCTTTTACTTTATAGTACATTATTGGGGCAACTGGTAAGATCTGAATGAGATTGCTAGATTAGATAATAGCATTGTGTCAATGTTAATTTACTGGATTTTTTTCCCCAAAGGTTATTTATTTAGAGAAGTCTCCTGCATCTGAACTGTGAACAATTCCTTTCAGGGACTAAGACCACTGAAGATTTTCTACTGAGACTTTCACCCTCCAGACCCGAATCTTGAGTGGAGAGGCAAAAGTGCAGGCCTTCTGAGAAGCCGCCTGAATCTGACCTGTGAACAATTCCTTTCAGGGACTAAGACCACTGAAGATTTTTCTGCTGAAACTTCACTCTCCAGACCCCGATCTTGAGTGGTAGGGCACCCCCTGGAGGGAACTGCAGAGAAATTGCAGATCACCTCCCCCTGCATGACTCTGAATGCTCAGATTGAACTTCAAGAAATTAGGAAGAAATGTATAACCCATCTGATGACCAGAAATCACCACAGAGATACAAGAAATATGAGAAACCAAGAAAATACCTCCCCCCCAAGAGAAAAGAACAACTCCTCTTCATCCACAGACAATACAATGGAACTCATGGAAATGTCAGATAAAGAATTTAGAATATTGATACTGACAAAGCTAACAGATGCAAAAGAGAGACAGCAAACTCCAGAAGATGGAAAAGAAAAGAGACAATGAGTTCCAGGAGGTGAGGAAGGTCTTGCACTATCTGAAAGAAAATACAAACCATAAAAAAAGAACCGAATGGGGGACCAGCAGCTAGTGTAATGAATATGTCGCTGGACTCCCATGTAGTCAACCGTGGTTCGAGACCTGGACCTAGTGGCTTAAACTCACTGTGGGTGCTTATGTGTCTGTGCCCAAGATCCCGGGAGGAGAATGGAGGAGAAGGGACTGCAGCCTGGCCATCCCCCCTGGGGGGTGATTTCTTGCTTTTTGTCTTTCTCTGTCTTTGGCAAGCACACGTGCCCTATAGCAAAAACCTCTCCAAAAAAAAAAAAGAATCAAACAGAACTGTTACACATGAAGGCTGTAAAACAGGAAATCAAAACCTCCTTTGAAAGTATTTAAAGCAGATTAGATCTTACAGAATCTGCTTTAAATAAGTCTCATAGACAGAATCTCTGACCTAGAAAAATTCACCACAAAGACTGAGAAAATAGCCCCTAAAAATGAGAGTAATATATGAGAAATACTGGATACCATTAAACATCCAAACATCTGGATCATCGGTATCCCAGGTAAAGAAACTAATAAGGGCACTGATAATCTGTTCCGTGAAATCCTGTAGGAATTTCTAAACCTAGAGAGGCATTCAAATATCCAGACCCAAGAAATACAAAGAACCCCAAATAGAATCAACCCAAGAAGATCTTCTCCATGACACATTATTGTCAGATTGACCAAATCTACAAAGACAAAGACAAAATACTAAGATTGGCAAGAGAGAAACGTCAAGTTACCTACAAAGGATATCCCATCAGGCTAACAGCGGACCTCTTATCAGAAACAATGTGAGCAAGGAAAGAATGGGAAAATATATTCAAAGTGTTAAGGGAAAAGCAATTTCAACCAAGAACACTGTACACAGCAAGATTATCCCTCATATGGGAAGAAAAGACAAGAACATTCTCAGATAAACAAAACCTGAAAGAATTTACCAACACCAGACCAGCTCTCCAAGAAGTTCTGAATAGAGTGCTATACCAGGAAAACTAAATATAGACACACAGAAAAAAAGAGTTCAAAAACAAGCAAGAACAAGGCCAACTTAATGATAGAGGCAAATCCGGAGTTGAATGTTATTTTTCAGAATTTAAATGGAAAGATCAAATCACAACAGAAGAGAGATTAAATACATGAAACTGAGCTGGCGAAATAGAATTTTATAACTTTTGACTAAAACATTACTGATTTTCTTCTATGCTTTGTTTCCTAGATTTAAGGATTTTTATCTTCTCCTGAGTTGTTGTTAGGTTCATGTACCTACTATTTGAACAGAATCCTAACCTGCTTCCTGGCTTTAAGTCTTAAGCAAAGTTCTCTTAACATTTTTTTGGTTTTGATTTATTTAAGCTAAAACAGCTTTTCCTGAAATTAAAAAATATATTAAAAAAATACTATTTAATGACTACAGTAAGCTATATAGCCTCAGCTAGGTGCTACTTTATAGTATATTCATTCTACTCACTAAGTTTCATGCCTAAAGTCAGACATGTGTTCAAAGATAGGTATATATTAGCAGAAAGCATTTGGATTAATTAAGATATTTTGCAGATCAATTAGATTAATTAAGATATTTTGTGAATCAATAAAATATGAGAGGGAAAAAAAGGAATGGAAAGCAACTGCAGATACCAGAGACAGTGTGGGAGGAGGGTGGGAAATGGAGAGGGTGAGAAATAGAGAATAAAAAAAAAATACACACACATACACATACACATATATGTAAGAAACAAGAAATGGAAAATTATTTGTTGATGATAGCATGTATGATTAAGCCAATATATGGTGTATTCTGGATGGGAAATCGCATTTTGTATGCTGTGATGATGTTCAGTGAATGAATGTAAATAAATAAATTAAAAAATAAAGTTTATTTATGTATTTCTTGAAAGAGAGACAGAGACACCCTCAACAGATCTTCTTACCATGGTCCTCCTACCAGCCCTGTGGCCAGCCAGGACAAGTTCAGGTCAACCTGAGATATGAACCTGGAGCCTTCTCGTACTGCCTCCAGCATTGCACAGCAGCACCCCTACTACCTGAAGCTGGGACAGTTTTCTGACTTTTGATAACTGTGCTATGGTTGTGTAAGAAAAGGTACTTTTTTACAGGAAAAGAAGCACTGGAGTATTGAGGCACTGTGTCTGCAAATTTCTCCTAAGTGGTTTGGAAAAAAATAATCTGCATATGTAATAAAGAGAGATAAAGATAAAATAAATGAAGGAAAATAATAACATTTAGGCAACTCTGAAGTGTGTATGGGAATTCTTTGTAATTTTTCTAAAAGCCTAAAATTAAGTTGAAATTTAAAAAGTTACAGTAATCGTGGCAATTTTAAAAAAAAATTTTAAGAGGTTTTTTTCTTAAGGCACATGTGCTCACTGGAAAAAGAGACGGAGACAGTGAGAGGGAAAGTGAGAAATCACTCCCAGGGGGATGGCCATGCTACAATTCCTTCTCCTCCAATCTTCTCCCAGAATCCTGGGCATGCACACACACGTGCCCGGCAAGATTTTCAAGTCACTGGGTCTGGATTCGAAGCACAGTTAGCCATGTAGAAGTCTAGCAATATAACTGCTAGGCCATCTGCTGGCCCCACTAATCTTTTTCTATGGGGCACGTGCACTCTCTGGAGTGGGACAGAGAGACAGAAAGAGGGGAAAGGTGAAAAATTACCCCCCCAGTGGGATGGCCACACTGCAATCCATTTTCCTCCACTCTTCTTAGGATTTGGGACACTCATGCACAAGCACCTGGGGTGAGTTTCAAGCAGATGGGTGAGTGACTTGACCAAGGGGTTGGCCTTGTGGGTTCCAGAACCTTAACTTCCATACCACCTGCTGGCTCACAGCAATATTAATTATAGATAATTATCCTTTTTACATCTTTAGCACTTCATTATTTTTTTGTTTGTTTGTTTGTTTTTCTGCCAGGGGGCATATGCATTCGAGAAAGACACAGGGATAGAGTAAGAAAGCATCCCCTGCTCCCCCTTCCCCCAAGTGGGGCATGGTCACCCCACAATCCCTTTTCCTCCATTTTTCCATCCAGTCAGGATTTTGAGCATGCATTCACACATGCCAGGTGTGTCTTCTAACCACTAGGGCTGGGATCTGTCTTCTTCAACCGTTGAGCCATGAGGAGGGCCACATTTTATAATTTAAAAATAAAAAATTAAATCAAGTACAGCAAATTCTGGAGCCAGCCTGTAGCCTAGAGGTTAAGGAAGCCAAATCCCACATGGCCGACCCATGATTCAAGTCCCTGAACTAGCTGCTTGAAAACAAAGTGAGCACGTTTGAGTGTGTGCCCCAATGCCAAGGGGTTATATAAATGGAGAAAGAACTGTAGTGTGACCACACCCCATTGGGGGTACTTTCTCTCTTCAAACTCTGTGCCTCCTAGAAAGCATACACGCCCTCTGGCAAATAAAAACAAAAACAAACAAAACCCAAAATGCAGCAAATTGTCTGTAAGAGGAACCCTGTGATGTCAGAAGAGAGGAGGCTGCTGGTTCACTCAACTGAAAGCTGCTTTTGAGTAAACTGATACAAGGTGTCCTCAGGTGCCTAGATTCTTCAACAAAGTTCACAAGCAGAGAGAGAGTTTAGTCTGCCTTCTGCCCTAGAGCCTCATGTCCCCATGTAGGGAATGACCTGCCCAACTCTTCAGCCCTGCCTCTGGATCTTGTTTAGCTACAGACGGCACTCTTTCTGTATGACAGGATAAATAGATTAATAACCATTAAAACACATCTAAAATGTGCTTGCCACAGTGGGGTGGTTTCTGCACATGCCACTGAGTCAGTATTTATAGGACACTCACTGTAAACAAAGCACCACACGGTATATAATAGAAACGAGGTGTGCCAAATGCTCACCCAAACCCTCAAGTATGACTGGCACAGGAAGGGCATTCTGTGCCTATATATGTCAGTGGTTATATTTTCATTTCTGCTGCCACATTCAATTTTCATATCGGTTGTGGGAAGTAGGTTTCATTTATTTCCATTTTATAGATGAGGGAAATTAACTTGCACCAAGTTACACAGGTACTAAGTAGTAAAGCTGGGAGTTCACTTAGATCTGATTCTAAAGTCCACCATCCCACCTATCACCATATTTTGCAAGTCATAAAAACACGAATGCTGCAAAATCTCACTTAACACTCTTGGGGATGAATCAGCTGGACAGATAAGTAAGTGAAAGGCCATCCCCTAGGAAACATTGTTCAAAACCTTCTGAGTTTAGAGTAGTAAAGACTACAAAAGCCTCTGGGGACAGATGTTTCCTTCCTGAGTTAAAACAGAAGGATTAGGATGAGTAGATGGTGTAATGGTTACATCGTTGGACTCCCATGTAGTTGACTGTCATTGAATTCCTGGCTCTGGTGGCTTAAAACTCATGCTGGGCACATATGTGTGCATGCCCAAAATCTTGAGAGGAGAATGGAGGAGAGGAGATTATGGTGAGGCCATTCCCGAGGGGGTGATTTCTTGTTTTCTGTCTCTCCTGCAAGCACACACACCCTATACCAAAACTCTCTTAAAAAAAAAAAATAGGATTTTGGGGCCAGCAGGCAGCATAGTGGTTAAGGTGCTGGACTCCCATATGGTTGACCGTGGTTTGAATCCCAGACCTGGTGGTTTGAAACTCATGCCGGGTGCATGTGCTTATGTGCCTAAAATCCCAAGAGGAGAATAGAAGGACTGTGTCGTGGCCATCCATACTGGGGAGTGGTTCCCCACTTTCTGTCTCTCTGTCCCTCTCTGTTTGTCCAGCAAGCACATGTGCCCTATATCAAAAATATTAAAAAACAAACAAAATAGTAAGATTTTCAAGGCACTGGCACCTATACAACACTGCCCCCTGGCCCTAGAAGTGGTGCAGCTTTGCAAGCTTGTTTCTCATCTCATTCATCAGTATTTTGCTGTCTCTGAGCCAGGTAACTTTCAATATGACATGTATTTTGTCTTTAGTGCAGAAAATGGGTCAAAAGGGTTTTTTTTTCCTTGTCCCTCCTCTTCACACATATATAATAATGATAGTTCATGGTTGAGCACTGATTATGTCCCAGGCACTGTTCTAATTACTTCACACAAATAGTCTATTTACTTATCCCTATAATCTTACTACATAGGTACAAAGAATACCTTCAGTTTACAGATGAAGATACTGAGACACAGAGAGGAAAAATATGTTGTTTAAGTTCACACACAGTAAAAAAGCAGGCTGGGACTTTACCCAGTCAGATGGGCTACTGAACTAGTGTTTCTAGTCATGTGCACAACCCATCTTCTGTGTTGAAAGGTAACCATCCACACCTGCACTGTCTATCTTTCCAGACCTTCTCTGTTCCCACCCAGAGCCTACAAGATAATACTAAAGCAAGAAGAGTTAGAATTGAGGGAACATTAAAAAAAAGTCTACAAATGTATCCTATCACTTATGATCTGCTTGAATTCTTACAGTAGACACATAATACTTCCAAAATCAATTAAAAACATACCAAAAAGTAGATTTTGGGGGAAAAATTACCAAGCAAGTTACTTTGGAAAGGAGAAAGATACTGCATATAAACTAACAATATGTTCTTGTTTATTTTATCAGTTAAATTGCATTAAAACAACTTTCTAGTAAATAAGAGTCTATTGTCCCACATCGTTAGGACAGTGTTTAAGAACAGACTTGTTAAATTCTAGCAACACTACTTTATTCAGCAGTTTGAAACTGAATCTAACTTCTCTGAGGGTTTTCTTAACTCTAAAAAGGAACAATAACCTATCATATAGGAATATCGTTAAGGTCACATAAGACAATATAATACAGATGCTTGGTACAGTGCCAGATTCATCACCAGCACCCATCATTTCAATAGTTTTTTAGACACAAAAGTTCAGGATACTTTCATCAAGTGGATATATCATGATTTGCTTAAGCAGTTCTACACTGTTAAGCATTTGAATAATTTTCAGTATTATCAATAATATAACTGATAGCAAATCTTTACATACATTTCTTTTTATTTTTTTAGGGATCAATTCTTATAAATGATCTGCTAGATCAATGGATATGAGAATTATAAACTTTTAGCACATATTATCAAGCTGTCCACCAATATAGAGTTTCACTACATTAAATGTTCTCTATGTTATATTAAAAATGGTTATTTAATGGTTTCCAGCAAAGGACATTATTTTAAAGATCTACGTTGATTTTATAGGGTCTTCCCCCAACTCCAGAAAAAGTATAATTTATTTTATATGTTTACTAGTTTACTAGAGATTTCAATTTTTTCTTTTGTTATAAAGTTCTTAGGCTCCTTAAAGTAAGATATTGGCACAAGACCAGATAATGGAATAAGTAAAAATTTTAGTATAGTATATTACGGAATTGGCATTGTATAGAGTATGCACACGTATGAGAGAGGAAGAGACAGGGTCTGGTCATTCTTCTATCCTCCTCCTCCAGTCCTCCAGCCTATAGGCTCTTGGGTACATGCCCATGTGCTTGGCATGGTTCAGGCTGACTGGGTACGGGATTTGAACCACAGTTACTGTGTGGGAACTGGCCTCTCTTGAACATAGCATTGCCATTGGGAGCTCTCTAGTAGTTTTCAAAATATTCCCTAGAGCCTCCCCTGGGGGAGATGGGTAAAAATGGGTATAAGAGGTGCTGGTTGGTTGGGATAACTCTCAAGCTTCCTCACTGCAACTACACTTATCTGGTTCACACACTGAATTTATTGGTAAGCTTTGACCTCAAGTGATCTGTACCTGAAAACAAAAACACACTTAATGCAGGGTTTGGGACAAGTCACACTTTACAATAAATAAATACATAAATATAATAAAATGAACTGGGCCGGCCCTGTAGCCTACTGGTTAAGAGAACCAGATCCCACATGGCCGACCATGATTGGAATCCCAGTCCTACCACAGCTTGAAAAACACGCCAGTCATGTGTACCTGCATGTCCCAAATCTAGACAGGATGAAGAAATAGAACAGGGATTGCAGTGTGACCATGTCCAATTGGAGGGTGCTTTCTCCCTTTTTTTTTTCTCTCTCGCTCTGGTGAACAAATGTACCTCAGGCAACTGAAAAAATAATAACGAAATATGTTGAATCTCTCCCTTACATGTCATATAAAAATACATTTCAACTGAATTAAAATAGTAAGTGGAAAAAAAATACACAAATTACAAGAAAATATGGGCAAGCATTAGCTGATCTTGGGGAAGAAGAGAACCTTTTCAAGCACACTGATAAAAACAGAAACCATAACAAGAAGCACTATTTGTCTGTATTGGTTTTTCCTAAAGTGTATGCCCCTGATAACAGCTTCAAAATAGTTTTGTAAGCAAAGAAGTGTGGAAATGCTACATAACAATAATAGTGTAATGGGTGGCTCAGGGCACTAATACCACTATTATCTCTGTCAGGATCTCTATATCACCACAAAATACACACAAAACAATGTGCAAAACAAGCAAATATAGGAAGTTGGATGATAGTGTAGCAGTAAATGCGATGCTCTGCAAGGCTGACTCACGTGGAAAGGTTCTAGGTTTGCCTCTAGAGACCCCCAAGTGCACTGGGCATAGGCATACCCATGATCTTGGGGTGGCTGGAGTGGATTGCTGCAGAGACCCTTTTGGGGGTACTGTCCAGGTCTCAGTCATGGAAGAAAGGAGTAAAAAACCAACTAACCAAAGAAACAAACAGACAATAACAAGTAAACATAATTAGAGAACATATCTTAGTGTCTTCTGCCTTAATCAGATTCTTGACACTCTTAAGTGCTTCCTCTTCCCAGACTTCCTGGACCGATCATGGGTGTTCTCTGGAAAGTCACCAATGACATTAGCATAGAAAGGCTCTGAGAAGTCCTATAGCAGAAAAAAAAAAAAAAAGAATCCGCATATGACAACAGAATCCTTCCCTAAACATGACTATTAATGTCCAAAGAACTCATGGCATACACCCTGCCAAATGCCAGACTTTGTGGAAATCGATAATTAAGCAAGAAAATGCTATGTGAGAGTTATGAATGACATACTGTCCATTTACTATTTTACCAAGCTCAGTTTGGGGTGTTCTCTGATGTCGACACCTGCTGACACTTGGTGCAAATGCTTTAATTTAGCAAACACACATAATTTCCTGCAACAATCTGCTGCCATCTAAATACTGAGTGGTCAGCAAAGTCACAACACACTTTTGCATAGAAAAACATACCATGATTTTCCGACAACCTAATATAAACTCCTGCTTGCAGACTTCCTTGGCTTTACATTCTTTAAGATATATATTTTTTTAATTTATTTATTTTGGGGACCAGCAGGTGGCATGTTGGTTAAGGCACTGGACACTCCCACATGGCCGATAATGGTTTGAGTCCTGGACCTGGTGGCTTGCTTTCTCACTTTCTCTCTCTCTCTCTCTCTCTCTCTCTGTGTCTCTGGTCAAATTAAAACAAATTAATGAATAAATTAAATAAAATTAAATAACTAAAAAAAAGTTTACTTATTTGTTCCATAGTTAGAGAGGCAGAGAGGTTTCCAGATGCGAACCCAGAACCTTCCCTAAGCCTCACAGGGCACTGCATTTTGCCGCTGCACCACAATCCAGTCGCTGCACCACAATCCAGTCCCGGATTTAAGTTCCTATACATTATCATTAAAATACACTTACATTTTTGAATAATACTAAAGAATTTATGTAAATGATACACAAGCTAAAGAAATACGCAGGCTTGTATTTCTGTTCTCTCACCTACTAAATGTCTTATGCAACTATTAACAAAGAATATGCATTAGACATTTCTCATTCTGAGTTAGACTGTGTTTAGGAGACAGAGCCAAGTGGTTCAGAGAGAGCAATTAGGCCCTTCTACAAAACCTCAAGATTAATACTATCATAGAATCAAAATAAAGAGGCCAGTCCTGTAGTCTATTTGTTAAGGGAACCAGATCCCACATAGCCAAGCAAGTCCTGACCTTGGTGAAATGAAAAACATGCCACGTGTGTGTGCATGCCCCAAATTCCAATAGGATGGAGAAACGGAGGAGAAAAGATTATGGTGTGACCACACCCCATCGGGGAGTGTTTCTTTCCTCTGTCTCTCTCTGGCAAACACCATACCTCTTAAAATTAAAAAAAAGAAAAAAAAAGATACAAGTGTTTCATTGAAGCAAACCCTTGAACCTTATTTTCTTTAACCCCCAATGTACTTTTAGGTTCTAAATAAAGGGAAAAGATAGGAGGAAGAGGCAAAGTTGAGCAGTGATGAAGTATTCTTCTATTCCAATGACACTCACTATATGGTCTTGTCATTTAAAAATAATACTAATTCGAATTGTAAATTATTAGATTTATGAGCATTAAGATTCAGTTTCTGATATGTTTCTACATGAAATGTGTCACTGTTTAATAACTGTCAACACAGATAATACCTGCTTGCACAAAACCCTGTATTGGGTCATTGGAAAAGTCTTGCTGTATCTTTCTGTTTTCCTATGAAAAATGCATCATGATTTTTCCAACAACCCCATATTAATGATTTTCAACTAGAAGTTTTGTTCCCTTTGTTTAGCACCTGAACTCTGTAAAGCAGTTGCATTCACTTCAAAATATGGTTAGTAAAGTTAGTATTGATGGGAACCAAAAAAACAGTTCCTCATTGTGAATTTACTACTTCACTTAACAGTGACTAAGTTGTTGCAAATACTGTAGGAGAGGTCTTTCATGGAAAGTGTATACTATGAAAAAAACTATGCATAAACTTCAAAAATTTTTGTACAAAAATTTTTTTTTTCTCTCTCTTTTTTTTTTTTTTTTTTGAGAGGTTTTTGCTATAGGGCGCGTGCGCTCGCCAGACAGAGACAGAGAGATAGAAAGCGAGAAATCACCCCCCGGGGGGATGGTCACGCCGCAATCCCTTCTCCTTCACTCTCCTCTCGGGATCTTGGGCACACACGCACACGCACCCAGCGTGAGTTCTAAGCCACCGGGTCCGGAACGTGAACCGCGGTCGACTACGTGGGAGTCCAGCGACATAGCCATTACGCTAACTGCTGGTTCCCTGTACAAAAATATTTTAATTCCATTTTCCCACAAACTTTTTGTATGCGTGTGTCTTTTGTCAAATTTCTATTTTTTTATTGGGAATGTGGCACTGGCAGGATAGTGGCAACAGTGTTTATTGGGATGTTCACTATATAGATATTTTTTCTTTTAGCTGCCAGAAGGCAGAGGTGCTTGAGGAGGATAGGACTAGGACAGGGTAGGTATCCCCCTCAATGGGGACATTGGTCACAATGCAATTCTTTTTCCTCCATTTCTCTATTACATCGGGATTTTGGGTGCACATAGCTACCAATACTTCCAGTGTGTTTTTCAAGAAACCAGTGCTGGGATTCAAACTGTGATCAGCATGTGGCATCCTGCTTTCTATACACAGCTCTTAACCACTCATTATACAGAATTTTTTTCTCTGTTACTAAATTCAAAGATCTCCTGTTTTTATGAAGGGAAATGTGACTCCTTGCTATTTGCTAGCTGGGTGGTAATAAAAACTATAATTAAATGTAGCCTTGAGTAAAATCTTGGGGGCCAGCAGGTGGCATAGTGGTTAAAGCACTGGACTCCCACATGGTTGACCATGGTTCAAGTTATGGACCTGGTGGCTTGAAACAAGCTGGTTGACATTCACGCCCCAAATCCCAAATGTAGAATGCACTGCAGTGGGGTCATCCCCTTTGGAGGATGGTTTTTCACTTTCTCTGTCTCTGTGTCTCTGGTGAGAGCACGTTCCCTATAATAAGTATCTCTCTAAAGAAATCAAAAAATAAAACAAAACAAAACAAACTCTGAGAGGGGATTCATAAACTCTGAGAGGGGATCCACGAGGTGGCATGGTGGTTAAGCTATTGGACTCCTACATGGCTGACTCAAGTTCTGGACGTGGTGGCTTGAAAATCATGCTGGGTGCACTGCATGTGTGCCCAAAACCCAGAGAGGAAAATGGAGAGGGACTGCAGTGTGGCCATCCCCTGAGGGATAATTTCTCACTTTCCCTCTCTCTGTCAAGTACATGTGCCCTGTAACAAAAACTAAAAAAAAAAAAAGGTAGTCTGGGCAAGTTTCTAAATAACAAAAGATCAATCATGTGGATAGCACTTGATTGATAATCCAGAGAAACACTTCCTAGTTCTTCAGTAGGGTGAGAAGTAATTATTTTGTCATAATATGATTCTCAATGATATAGTCAGATGCAAATTTCTTTCTTTTTTCTTTGCACTCGCACTGTCCAGTGAGCAAGCGAGAAAGAAGAGAGAAAGTGAAAAATCACTCCCTGGGGAAATGGTCATGCCACAATCTCTTCTCTTCTATTCTCCTTTTGGAATTTTGGGTGCACACCCACGAACCTGGCATGATTCTCAAGCTGCCAGTCCAAGACTGAAACTGCGCAGTAGACCATGTAGAATCCTTAACATTCTTACCACCTGCTAGCCTTCAGATGCAATTTTTACTTTTTATTTTATTTATTCATTCGTTTATTTTAATTTGACCAGAAAGAAACACAGAGAGGGAAAATGAGAAAGCAAACCACCAGGTCTAGGACTCAAACTGTGGTTGGCCACATGGGAGTGTCCAGCGCCTTAACCACCACGCCATCTGCTGGTCCCCCAGATACATGTTTTTTTAAAAACTCACTTCACTAATCATACTTATAGTCAAGGCAAACTTGGCTTGGGAATGTTGACATGAAAGTGCATAACATTGTCAGAAGTTGCAGAATGCTATTACCTTATGTGCTCTAAGCTTTAGTAATGTGTCTTTGGATTCTGCATGAGAAAAATAGTCTCACTGCAAATGAACTTCTCAGTCATAGTAATTTCTGCTTAAAGGGCATATATAATTTCTCAATTTAAAAGCATTCAATTAAAAATCAGTTTCAAACTAACCTATGTAGTTACCACCAAATCACTTTCAGAATAAAAATAAAAAGCTTTTTCCTACATGAATTAATCCTGTGAGAGAACTTTATTGAAAATCCTCTTTAATATAGGTAACATTACTTATCTTATAATGAGGGTATACAATGGAGATAACATTAATTTTGCATGGGCCAGGTAAAACTGTCAAGGAAATAACACTTGAAGGGTTATTCTTTCAAACACCCAGTTTCTTCTTTTTTAGAGAGATTTTTGCTATAGGGCATGTGCGCTCACTGGAGAGAGAGACCGCATGCAAGAAATCACCCTCCCCCTCCCTGACCATGGCCACAAAGCAATCCCTTCTCCTTTATTCTCCTCTCAAGATTTTGGGCATGCATGCACATGTGCCCAGCGTCAAACATAGAATTTGTTGTGAAGAAAACTGTAGACAATGTTTTATGTGCAAGTCAGTACTAACACCCATTACAAGTGTCTACCTAATAGTTCATTTCAAAGTATCAAATTCCATCACTCAAAAAAGTAAGGCAGACAGGGAACCAGCAGTTAGCGTAATGGCTATGTCGCTGGACTCCCACGTAGTTGACCAAGGTTCGAGTCCCAGACCCGGTGGCTTAGAACTCACGCCAGGCGAGTGTGCGTGCGTGCCCAAGATCCCAAGAGGAGAATGGAGGAGAAGGGATTGTGGCGTGATCATCCCCCCTGGGGGGTGATTTCTCGCTTTCTGTCTCTATGTCTCTCTCTGTCTGTCTGGCGAGCAAACGCGCCCTATAGCGAAAAAATAAAAACCTCTCCAAAAAAAAAAGTAAGGCAGACAGTTTCCTTGACAGTTATAGAAGACTCAAATGACCTCATGGATAGCTTGGATGTTTCTATTTTGTGCAGAATGTCTCAGAAATTCTGCAGTTGTCAGCTTACTTAAGGTGATACAAGGGTTCCAAAAGGGAAGAATTTCTAGAATGGTAATTGAAAAAGGCTAACTATACAATAATAGTAAAAATAATAATAGCTTTCAATTAACATATAAATAATTTTTGCTTGAAAAGGCAGTTTCCTACCATACAAATAATAAAACACTAAAGCTAGTTGCCTTCTTAAGTATAAATCTTGAATCACTAATAGGAGAACCTGAGGCCCAACAAAAGATCTGAGCCTAACAGCTCTCTTGTTCTCTTGTTAGTACAAACAGTACTCTGACTAAGGTTGAGTTTTCTGCATATACTGTTGACTTGACCTTAAACAAGTTCCTTAAGTCCTTCTAGTCTCAGTTTTGCTAACTGTAAAAGGAGTCAACACCTGGTACAAGTATTACAGGGCTGATATGAGGATGAGATGATATATTTTAACTTAGTACATAAACTATAAAGCAATAATCATCAGATGTAGTCACTATTTTATGTGATAATGGCCTTCACCTTTCCTGCTTACATCACTAACTGAAAAGGGAGTACATATGGAGTTCTGAATGCCTAACTAATCACTTACTGACTGAAGTTGAGCAAATCGTTTCCTTTCCAGACTTGTTTCCTAGAAGGGTTATTATGAAGATCAAATGATAACGTGTAAGTAAATGCTGTGCCTGACATACAAGCAACTTAACAGGCCGGCTGGCTAGAGCAGCAGGCAATGCTACCCAAAAGAAGGGGATCTTCACATGCCCATCGCGGTTAGAACTGTCTTGGTGAAACTGAAACACGGCCATCAGATGCCCAAGATCTAGCCGGCTGGAGAACTGGAGGAAGCGGATAGCAGCGTGGCCAGACCTCAGTGAAGGGTTCTCCTCTCACACATACGTTCGCGCGCACGCGCACTATCGTGAAAAAATAAAAACAAAAGAACTTAAATGATAGCTGTTATTATTACTCTTTGGAAGGAGGCTGGTAAGGAGAAAATAAAATTACATCTATTGAACACATTTTGCAGATGTGTACAAAAAACTCTATACACATCCAAAATATTGTTACTTATAATGTAAACTTCGAAGACATACAAGGAAAAAACCAAATGGCGTCTCGGCGACTCCCACGGGCGGGGGGACAGGGGGGTGAGAGGGGAGGAGAGCAGAAGAGGAGATTCAGGCGCTTTGGTGGCTTGAAACCGAGACAAGAATGAGAACAGAGGAGTCGCGGCCGGAAAAGAACCCTAAAAAGCACCCAGAGAAATCAGCTCACTACATTCCCTCCCTTTATCTTATGACCGATAGTCCAGCCTATTTAATGCAACTTCTCAGCCCGTCATATCCCTAGACATTTATTACTGTACCTTCTTCACTGAGAGCCTTTCCACGCCCTCCCCTTCTAGCAGTCGTCAAGTTCAGACCCTCGGCTTCGACAGACCCTTTAACTGTTTTCACGAATCTTCCCTATATCCTCCCCTCCGTCTAAGGGGGAAGTGGAGCGGGTCGCACCGCGAGGCATCCTGGGAGCTGTGGTCTCTTAGGCTTTTTTGCTTGGGCCACAGAGTGGGGAAAGACGACAAAGTAGATCTAGTGAAAACTACAACTCCCGGCAGGCCACGCAAGTCACCGTCTTCCTCTTTGCTCCCGTTCCCGTAGCCTTCCTCTTCCTCTTTTTGGCGGGCGCTGAAACGCTTGGCCTCACGGTATTTGTAGTTCTGAGTGGACCAAACCTACTAGTACTCGATGGTCGGAAGACAGTCTGGAAGACTCTAATTCCCAGAGGGCCGAGCGGAAGCTGCGCCTGCGCACTCTCAGTGAGGGCGTGTATGTCTGTGTGTCTGAGGGAGAGAGAGCGAGAGTGAGTGAGTGTGAGTGCGGGGTGGGGTTGTGGCCGTTACGTTCGGGGCAACGGCTACGGCAGTGGAGAAGTAAGAAGAGAAACAACGTCCGGCGCTTCCGCCTTCGCTTAGGAGAAGGAGGAGCTGGTAGGGAAGCAAAGTGATTTTCTCTGGGCCTGGACTAGATCGAGTTGGGCCGGTGGAGGTCTGGGCTATGAGCCTTTGAGGGTCGCTTGGGACGCGGAGCGAGACACGAGAGCCGAGAGCTATGTCTCAGACGCCGGCGCCGC